TTTTGCAACTCAAAAAAAACCACGCAAATCTAAAACTTCCTGAATTCAAGCCTTTTTTGAGAAAACTGCCAACATTTCCCCATCCATGGTTCACTTTTGGATTTATTTCTGTCTAGATTGATGTACACATGACCGTTCTTGCTCATTTTGCCTCCGAGATATGAGCAAAAACGGGACATGAAATTTTGGCATAATCTTGCACCTTAGTGTCTGATATTCGCTTTCTGGCTCAAAACTACTCGAATTTCCTCACTCACGTTGTTACGACTGAATCTACTTTTCAATTCTCTATCCAACTTCTAAAAAAGCAGCGTCATGTTCAAGTGGATTTTGCAACTCAATAAAAAACCGCGCAAATCTAAAACTTTGTGAATTCAAGCATTTTTTGAGAAAACTGTCAACATTTGCTTATCGATGGTTCACTTTCTAAAAAGGCCATTTATTTCTCTCTATAACGATGTACAAATGAGCGTTCTTGCTCATTTTGCCTCCGAGAAATGAGCAAAAATGGGACGGAAAACATGGAATTTTGGTATAATCTTGCACCTAAGTGGCTGATGTTCAAATTTCGCTTTCTGGGTCAAAACTACTCGAATTTCCTCACTCACGTTGTTACGACTGAATCGAGTTTTGAATTCTCTATCCAACGATGCCAAAACGAATTCTGTGGCTCAAATGGTTCTTGAGAAACTTCGAAAAAAGCAGCGTCATGTTCAAGTGGATTTTGCAACTCAAAGAAAACCACGCAAATCTAAAACTTCTTGAATTCAAGCATTTTTTGAGAAAACTGCCAACATTTCCCCATCCATGGTTCATCCGTTCATTTGGTTACTTGAAATCAAGCAAAACGCCGATTAGAGTTTAAATTGTCTTAGTTTTGCTTCTAGAAAATAGTGCTATAACTTTTATTGAAGGTTTTCGTCCACTTTATGTGGCCTTGTCTAAAATATTCATCACTTTTTGTTCATTCCTGTTTGTTATGTAAAAATCGCTCTTGCCAGATTGCAGATACGTTTTTGTTGAGACGTCGGAAAGACTTCTCTGAGGTTCCATTTTACTCGTAAAAAGTTTTGCTGCAACGTTCAAAAAAGGAAAAGTTGATTACCTACTGTAGGGCCAATAGTTTAAAAATTTACTTGAAAATCAGCAATTTTTTTGTATTTCGCGTTTCGACGCCGGGTTTAACTGAAACTTTGCCTGCAGAATTCCTATTTTATTGAGCCAACTGCGCCATTTCGATACTCTGAATCACCCAGTATTTCAATCGTTTTGCCTAAACTGACTAACTCTTCTTAACCACGTCAACTAGCCAGAGTTTAGCGAGTAATTACAAGACTAGTGGTGATTTAATTACCAGCAAGCGAAGACCTCGGCGAATTTTTCGAGCTTCGCAAATTACAAGAGCGCCCCAAATTGGGGAGTCGTAAAAACTGAGCAGCGACGGCAGCAGTGTCGCAATTTTCCAGAAACACGCCCACCTACATGGGCCCCCCAGCAGGACCGGCAGGGTCGTTAACGGACGAGTCCTGCTAAGAGTCGACTTGAGTCAGCAGCCCCAGTAGCGGACCGTGATGGTTTTCCCCGTTTTTAGTCGAGCGACAAATGCAAAATTTAATGTAAAAATGGACAAGATTCTAGCAGGAAAACGTCCCAGGAATCAGTGCAAAGCTTTCGTGTGTGAAAACGGGTGCAGGAGAGATTCGTGTGTGAAAAAAGGCATCATTTTCCCCCAAAAAGAGGGCTTAAGCTAAAATATTCAAAAGCGAAAACCGTTTCCTAATCATTTGAGCTCATTGACTTAACTTTGAAGCACTGTTTTTCATAATACCAGAGTGTATGATTGGCCGTTTAGTTATCCAGGTGAAAATGGGCAAATTCCTGAGAAATCCAAGCGAATTTCTTCGCTTACGCTCGCCTTACCTTTGCATTTTCACTGGTAAGCTGCTAATATGGAAGAGCAAACCCTGCTTTCCGAAAACCGTTAAAAGACGTCCCTGATGGATGTGGTGTATTTGGAATGGGAACGGCCAAACCTGACTAAGCACTTTGCGCCGTTGAAATTGAGTCAACCCAATGAGGCCACAACTGTTATCATAAAGCGGCATAAACGGCTCTTTTGCTCCGCAATGTATTCGGACCGTTTCGTTATTGTATTACCAAGAGCTTCAGTTGGTTGGGAAAAATCAACTAAGACAGTCGAAGGAAAATGGGCCAAAAATCAAACAGGCGATTAGTGTCTTCAAAGGCTTTTTGTTGCGTCATCATCATCATCATTCATCATAAATTTGCAGGTGTTTCCTCTACACTATAATTGAAAATTTTTCACTTTTCCACATCCGTCAACCGTTTATCAGCGCGCTTTAAATTGTTTCGTCCAAAAATTGTCAAATTTTTACCCTTTTTTGTTGACTTCTTCATTAAACCAAATTTTTTATGGATGCGAAAAACGGGCTTGAAGTGATTGTCCAAGGAGACATTGGGCTGTTTTCCTTCATCAGTAGTTCAAATGTATTAAATTTTCAGCCCCTTTCGCTGCAAAGTTCCACTACGAATTTGACGCCTTTAGAAAACTATTGTTCGACCAATTACACGCTTCGTCGGCATTTTCGAGTTGGCTTTTGTGGCGTTGACGTGTTTGTTTCTTGAATCACATGCGGCATTCACTGAAATTTGATACACACTTTCATGCCGCATTAACGAAGGGAACGACTGCACAAACAACGCACATTTATGAATCTAACAAAAAATTTTGTTGATTTTCCATGATTTGGACAAGGAAACAATATAAAAGTGGGCTTCATAACGCGATCAATTTCACAAAATTTGGTTTTTTACTGATTAATTGGTTATTCTAGGTTTTGTTAAACCAGTTTGTCTGAAGGTGATCAGCGCATACATTTTTCTATTCGTTTGCGCTAATTTCGGTTGCCGAAAATGCAATATTGTGCTTAAACAGCTTATTTAGCGCATATTTTGAACACCGTCGCCTAGGTTTTGTATGAGTTGCTCATTTTTTTCTCTTGAACCATATTGAGGTCTCAGAAATGAGTAAATGCCAATATGACGTTTCAAATTATTATTTTTATGACGTTAGTATGTCACTG